CTTGTTTCTGCAATTTCTTACTATCATGTGACCCTTCAAAATGTCTCTTAATTTAGCTCAGTTTCATGCCTGAAATATATTAACTATAGTTACAAGAAACTGATTCTCTTTTATTCACCTTACCCTACCAATACCTTCAAGGCTGCATATTGAAAGAATAAGAATGAAGGTGAAGGTGAGGGTCGCTGATGTTGGATTCCCTGCTGCCTTTCCCTCCTGGCTTCAGAACAAGAGAGAGGCTAAGAACACAGTTCCTAAGCTTCTATTCTTTGAAAATGGACTGGTTGCTGTAGACTAAATGTTGTGTCTTACTGAAAGAAATTCACATGTTGAAACCTATTCCCTAATGTGGTATTTGGAGGTGGGGCTTTTGGGTGGTGTTTAGGTCATAACCTTGGAGCCTTCATGAATGGGATCAGTGCCTCTGTAACAGATCCATCCATGCATCATCTCTTACAGCCTACAGGACACAGTAGGAAGATGGCTGTCTGTGAACCAGAAAGCAGGCTCTCATTAGATGCTGAATCTGACAGAGACTTGATCTCTTTGGGCTTCCCGGCCTCCAGAACTGTGAGAAATAAGCTTCTGTTATTTATAAGCTACCTATCTATGGTATTCTGTTATAGCAGCCTGAGCAGACTAGCACTGGTATTCTGCTAATCATGCCTGAAAAGTACTCAGATTTGGTGTCTTTGGTTTTGGTGGTTACTCTAGGTTATTTGAAAGTAAAGCTAGAAAATTCTGTTGAAATCCTGGCAGATGTCCAGGTATGAACTGAATAACCATAGTAAGGTTCACTGAGACTTGGGTTCGGCTCTTTTTTGGCCATTTACTTTTTTCTTGACCTTAAAAGAGAGAGACCATTTCTTACACTGTATCCATTATATTTTATTTATTAATCCCCTTAAATCATGTCTACCTGTGTGATATCACAAATAGCTCTTTGATGAATATTCTTAATATGTCCTCTTATGGGTCTGTAGGAGAATTTCCTTGGGGCATAGGCCTGGGCACACCCACTTTTACTAAATAAACTAAACAGTTCTTCAAAATATCTTGTGTAAAATGACCATCAGTAAACCACCAGTTGAAAGTAAGTTTCTCTAACCATCTATGCAACACTTGGTTATACCCAGCTTTCTGAGTTTGCCAATATGCCAATCTGTTAGGCACTATTTCATTGTTTTAATTTGCAGTTACCTGACTGCAAGTGAAATTTTTAAAATTCTTCATATAATTGCTAGTCTTTCAGTTGTCTCCATGTAAAATCTGAGATTTATTTTCTTCAAGATAGATAATCAACTAATACGCTCAAGGCATATTTTCTTACACAGAACTGTCATTCTTGTAAACCCTCATTCAGGATTTACATAGGTGAAAAAATTTAAATACACCTTCTACCAGTTTCTCAGAGTTATATATTTTTTAAACCATGTTTTACATTTAAGAACCTCTTTTGTAATGAGAACCACATCAGTGGGAAAGACTTTTGACAGCATATCTGATTGAAGAGTGAATATCCTCCAAAGCTTCACTTACAATGAATTCTTGGTGATTTTGCTTGCTGTCCTGTTTGATACCTTCTTAGAACCTTCAACCCTTTTAGAGGGAATGGAGGAAGCAGTTCTGAAAGCATCAGTGTCCCAAACTGGAAGATAAGTTTGGGAAATTTCACCTTGTTAGATAGAAATTAACAAAAATCCTCAAAGATTGGCCTTTAGCAGAAGTGACATCATTAAAATGACTTGCTTATGTATTATTGATCAAATTGGATTGTTTCCAAAATCTCAGTCAATGATGAGAGTGACTCCTCAACCTAATCTTATCAGAGGATTTGGGTATATTTCCCCAATTCATGAGAGGTACACCAAACTAAGATTCTGAGAAGAGATTAACTTCAGTGAGTACTTATTGTGCACCCAGTGTTCTCTGAGGCACTGTCCTATACAATTTCATATATTTCTGCACTTAACCTTTAAAACAGTCTCTTGAGGAAATAAAGAACTCATGTCATAGATAAGGAAAATCGCATCTAAAATAACCTATAAATGAATTGATTGCTAGTTTCTATCTGTGTGGGCTCTGAAAAAAGGAGCCACAGAAAAAACGATTTGCAATGGCTTTTTGAACAAATATATCTGACCATTAGAAATGATACCTTTGACAAGTTTTCCAAAAAAAAGAGAAGGCTATTGAGAGCAAGAAAATTTCAGCTCCAATTTCTAGCCCAGCCTGCATTAATACCAAACTTCCCATGCCAAGAATTCCTGCTTGTGAAATAGCTGGGCCCTAATTAGGTTTCCCACTTCCAAGGTACCTCACAATTTTCTTCTAACAATCAAATCTGACAATAATTATTTAAAAACTTTATAAATAAAGTGAAGGACGTGTGTTATTTGTTAACTATTCTTCTGGGAAATGGTAAAAAAATACTATTTTTTAATGGAGTAATGATTTGTAAGTCAATGTCTGATCACAGGGAAAGGGACTCCTTAGGGTCTTACTCATTGCTAGTGAGGATTTTTTCCACTCTGAAGTTGACAACTAGAGATGGCCACATCAGGTGCATACCTGCAAAGCAGTCCTACCTGAGCAGACAATAGATTTCCTCTTTCTAAATCCTTAGCAGCATTAAGCTCTGATCTCCAACCTCTCTGGATAGCAGCAAAAGAAAATCCTGCTGATTACTGGGAAATGACCAAGACAAGTTTCTGTGAGCTCAGGCTTCCCTGTGAGGAAGTGCAGAGCTGGGGAATGTGAGCCTCTCATCTAGACTAGTGGAGTCTTACTGGATGACTTCTAACCATTTTCTTCCCCTATTGCCCCATTGCCCCAGTTATATATTGTTGTGTAATGAATTACACAAAATCTTAGCAGCTTAAAACACCAAATTTATTATCTCATACAGTTTCTGAAGGTCAGGAATCAGAGAATGGTTTAGCTGGGTGTTCAGGGTCTCTCAAGAAGTGATGGGTCAAGTCACCTGAGGCTTGATTAGGGCTGGAAATGGCTTACTCACATGGCTATTAGAGAAGACACCAGTTTCTCATCATGAAGGCCTCTCCTTAAGGCTGCCTAAGAGCCCTCTCAACATGGCAGTTCGGGTCCCCCAGAGCAAGTGACCTGAGAGAGAGCAAGCAGGAAGCAGAGTATATTCTATGACCTGTCTCCAGAGTAGCTCACCATCACTTTGATTTCATGCTACTTGCTTTATTCTATTCCCTGGATGCCAGTCTCTAAATCCAGCACTTACTGAAGAGGAGAGAATTTGAACATTTCCTAAAACTAACTTTTCTATGCCCAAATTTAGGCTTCAAATAGAACATGTCCTCACTGATCTATAAACTCCCAAATCCCAGCAGATGTCCTTGCTGAGAAGTTGGAAGACATTGGAACAATCTAACTGCTGCCTTTCCACTTAAAAGAAAACAGGCATTTATGCCTCGCAATTTTTTTAAAAACTATTTACTGTGCCATTGCAGGCTAACCCAGATCTCCATCCTTTCTAGGGTTTGTTGAAAGAATCCTTCTAATCTGAGATGTCCTCTCTAAACCATGAAAACTATTGTCAAGTTCACACATAAAAAGATACGTGAACATACTTTGGAAACTAAAGCTTTATAACTGTTGTCGGCATTATAGCTACTCATCATGGGAATCAAAATGGTGGCAAACCATCTGGGATGAAATGTGTAATGCAGGTGGTGGGAAGCACTCAGTGACTCGGTGAGGTTGAGGTATCTTGTGTCTAAAAGATAGCAAAATAGCAATACATTCATTCAACTAAAATTTAATGAGCAACTGCGATGTGCCAGGCTTTTTCTATTCTAGGGATGCAACAGGGAAGAGTGAAAAGATCTTTGACTTTATGACACGTTTATGGGTAGGAAGATGGGGCAAAATTTGACTTTTAAAACAGGCTCACAGGGTTGAGAGGAACACTCTCCTGGAACTAGTTTCATACATGTGAGTGTCAACGAGGGAATATCATGTAAGGGATGAGTCACAGGGAATCCCTCAGGTGGGATGGAGGGTATTACTGCTCCAAAGGGTCTCACTGTGGCCTCTGTACCTCAGAGAAGTCATCAATATGTCAGGCAATTGGCCTTCTGGGCTTGGCAATCAGATGGCATAGTACCTGTATATTACTTCTCATGCACGTTTGCATTACCAGACTTTTGGAAGAAGCTGGCAAATAAAAACCAGAGCTAATTTGCAAATTTTATATCAAATCTTGGAATTGATATGAGTGAACATTTCAGAGCTTTATCCTAGACAGTTACCAGGTTTTTACTGGTAAACAGAAACCCATTCATCATGAGAATGAAAATGCTGCGTGAACACTAGCGCTTTCTTGGGTAAACAGAGCTAGTTTCAACAAAATTCATTTTTTGTTCTTTTTGGAGTTTTAGAGAAGAAACTGAGGATCAGTTAAGAAAACTTGAAGTCAGCCTGCTATTGCCAGGTTCTAGGCAGGACACCAACATTGGTCAGCTTACTTAACCTAGAGCTCCCACCCTCTGGGGACCTGCACAGTTCAAACCAGCCAGCTCGTGAGAATAGCAGCCTGCAAGGTGCTCTTCCATGCACTCTGGATACCTTGAAGGCAAAGTGAACCAGAGGTCTGATCAGCCTGTTTATATATCCCAAGGGGAAGAGGGAAGTGCCAGTATCTATGCTCTGAAGCTGGTTTTAGTTTGGCAAAGTTTCTCAAATCCAAGTGGTTTCAGATACTCTTCTTTTAAGCTAGCTAGCTGTCTAGTCTAACTTCACCTCTGTAATTATCTAATGTGTAATAAGATCACGTGTGGCTGTATAAAGTATGATTATTTTACGTGAGAAAATCAATTTGGGTTAAACCCCAATGTCCCTTCCCTTTTTCCAACTGCCCCCAGATTCAGTGTGCAACGTAGTATAACAGCTAGTCTCAGTGAAAGCAAAAGTGGCTCTGAAAAGAGCCTTTGGGAGGATAAAGATGCTCAAACTGGGTTAGTCTATGCCCGCTCTCCACGGATGCGGCGAGCAAGCTGGATGTCCTTGGGCATGATGGTGACACGCTTGGCGTGGATGGCGCACAGGTTGGTGTCCTCGAATAGCCCCACCAGGTACGCCTCGCAAGCCTCCTGCAGCGCCATCACGGCCGAACTCTGGAAGCGCAGGTCAGTCTTGAAATCCTGCGCAATCTCGCGCACTAGGCGCTGGAACGGCAGCTTGCGGATCAGCAGCTCAGTGGACTTTTGGTAGCGGCGGATCTCGCGCAGCGCCACCGTGCCGGGCCGGTAGCGGTGGGGCTTTTTAACGCCGCCCGTGGCCGGCGCACTCTTGCGGGCCGCCTTGGTGGCCAACTGCTTACGCGGAGCCTTACCGCCGGTAGATTTGCGAGCTGTCTGCTTCGTTCGGGCCATCGCTAGATCACCTCTGCTGCGAAAACAACTAGGAGAGTGGGGCTGGGACCAGACTTTATACTGATGATCCGACCCTGATTGGCCAGAACTGTTGCAGGAGTAACCTGATTGGTTTTTAATCCTATCTTCATTTGGTTCCTCTGAAACGATTTTGTTTTCCTTGCTATTCTGTTATTTTCTATTTTAACATGTATAATTATTAATGTACTCTATCATGTCTGAGCTTACTGTTTTCGACCGAAACATTAAGATTCCATCGATGAAAAGGGAATCTGATCTGTAATTGTGAAGTCAGCCCCTACATTGTTCTTAAAGAATTGAATTTTTATTGGAGACCTTTTCCCTCTTTAGATAATATGGAAATTACTGAAGAATATAGCAGGTTAGGATCTCTAAAAAGTAGTTCCGTTTCAAAACTGCATCCTTAAAACCGACCTGCTTTTTTAATGACTGTACGAAGACCTAGAAAAGTTTTCAGAAAGACTATTGGCACACAGTCCCTGCAAGGACTTTAGTTGGCCCAGTTTGGGTTGGGAAGGGGGCCTCGATAAGGGGTTGACTAAATACCGGTGAGTGGTTATCTGACACCTTAATTAACTGATGTTGATACAATCAAATGGCGTATCGGACCATTTAATATGTAAACTGTGGCCTTAACAGTGCGGAGTGACGATGTTTACATTGATCAGTAATTAGTTTTTCCTGGAAAGAGTACTAACTCTGAAGAGTTTGGGCTAGGACTGTTTTAGTGGACCAGTGAACAAAGATTCTATTAAGACTCAGAAACAAAACAACCTATCTACTTGATGACGCAAATAATGACCAGAAAATTGCTTAAGTACCCAGAATGGTGGGGAGGGAGCAGTAAGGCAAGACTTGCCTCATGGTCTTTTAGTTGACCAAACTATCTGAGTTTTACCGGATGTGTTAACTTAGTGAAATCAATAGGGAGACTACGGTTCATGCTCTTTAAGGTTAGCCAGTGTGATAGGTTTGACGTAGTGTTCAGTCCTTCCACAGAGACCATGGGTGGCTCGGAAAAGAACCTTTGGTCTTAAAGACTAAAGTATGAATTCAGACCTTATTTGCTCTTGGCCTTGTGGTGGCTCTCGGTCTTCTTGGGCAGCAGCACGGCCTGGATGTTGGGGAGGACACCGCCCTGCGCGATGGTAACTTTGCCCAGCAGCTTATTAAGCTCCTCGTTGTTGCGGATGGCCAGCTGCAAATGGCAGGAAATGATGCGCGTCTTGTCGCGTTGCCCGCCAACTCCAGGATCTCGGCCGTCAGGTACAACGGCACCGCCGTCAGGTACACGGGCTCGCCGGCCCCGACCCGCTCGGCGTAGTTGCCCTTGCGGAGCAGGCGATGCACGTGGCCCACGAGGAACTGCAGACCGGCTCACGACGACTGGGTCTTGGCCTTGGCGCGAGCCTTGCCGCGTCCAGACATGACAATGATCTGCGACCGACGCAAAGACTGGTAGAAAGTATAAACTCGTACTTCTCACAGCGTCAACTGGGCGCGAAAAGGAAGCTGTGTCATTGGCTATACTTGTAGTTCCATTTTAAACAATACAAATGCAGTACCTTAAAATGCCTCTTCTGATTGGACAATATTGACATTAACATCATCCGAATAACCACCAATCAGACATAAGACTTCACCGTATCTAATTTGCATATACTTATAAATTTTAGAAAGGAGACGCTTTACTCCTCCAGCGTTGTTTTGTTTCTCAAGGAGTTTACGATCTCTCTCTACTATGCCCGAACCTACTAAATCCGCTCCAGCACCCAAGAAGGGTTCCAAGAAGGCGGTGACCAAGGCGCAGAAAAAGGACGGCAAGAAGCGCAAGCGCAGCCGCAAGGAGAGCTACTCGGTGTACGTGTACAAGGTGCTCAAGCAGGTCCACCCCGACACCGGCATCTCGTCCAAGGCCATGGGCATCATGAACTCGTTCGTCAGCGACATCTTCGAGCGCATCGCGGGCGAGGCGTCGCGCCTGGCGCATTATAACAAGCGCTCGACCATCACCTCCAGGGAGATCCAGACGGCCGTGCGCCTGCTGCTGCCAGGGGAGCTGGCCAAGCACGCCGTGTCCGAGGGCACCAAGGCCGTCACCAAGTACACCAGCTCCAAGTAAACTTGGTCCCGTAATTGTGTTAAAACCAATGGCTCTTTTCAGAGCCACCCATCCTTTCAGAGAAATAGCTGGAGCATTTTTCCTGTACTCATAGTTTCTCTTAAGTGTTCGGGGCTGTCTTGGTAATGGAAGATAAAATGCAAAGGGTAAAATACTAAAAAATTCCCCCGAGCAGTCGTTCTTGGGAAATCATTTAGAAGGCAGTTTCATGAGTTTTACTGAGAGTTTTTTGACACCGGTAGGAAAAAAAGGCTGTTTCACCCTCCTACAATAGCCACAGTTTGGCTTTTGGTTACACTGTATCAAAGCAAGTAACACCCCAATTCTGATTGGGCAGCGGTTGTATATAAGAAGCCCGCCATAGGCTGCAATTTGCCAGCTAGTATTTTGACGGGTTGTGCTTTTCCGTTAGAGTATCTTGATAGTAAAATTATCATTTCTTCCTTATCTGCCTCAAAGCTCCGTGCTCTGGAACCAAAGAGTCCTGGGTGAGGTTAGCTTTCTTGTCCATTTCCCAGACACCACCAAATAGTCACTGTAATACCAGCGCTGCCTACCCTACGGAGATCCTAGGGTGAGTTAAATGATATATGTCAAAGAGCAATGGGAACATTAAAGTCAGGAAAGCCTCTTAAGAATAAATGTTGAACAAGGAACCCAGCAACTTGGGAAAGCCGCGTTCTTACAATGTTTTAAAAAAGGAAGCCTTGGGAGAGAGGAATGCTCAGACTCGGGTAGGGAGAGAGTTTTCAGGCTAGGATTTGAGAGTTCACAGTTAGGAATACTGGGGCACAAGTCAGAGAAGTTCAAGATTAAGGTGTTAGCAAGATGGGTTCTCCCCCTTGGCTTGCAGCTGGCTGTCTTGCTCTGTTCTCACGTGGACTTTTTACTGTGTATGCACACCTCTTGCGTCTCTTCATCTTATAAATGACGTAGTAAGTGTAGTTCAGGAAAAGAGCCAGGCACTGAGCAAACCAAGAAAAGCTTGAAGGTCACTTCATGTGGCTAGTTGGCAGAACTGGTTAAGCAAAAACAAACCAGCTAGATTCTAGGAAAATAATTAAATGGCAGAACAGAATGTGGTTTCTAACCAGTTCAAACCAACTAGGTTCAAGATGGGAACAAAAATAACTCAGTTACCCCAAAGCTCATTAGCATACTAAAAATCACACCTCTTGGCACCTTCATAGTTCTGAGGCTGACCACATCAGGACAAAAAGAGGACATAGCCTCTCTCTTCCAAGAAAAACCCACCTATTCCAAAATTCCACCCAACCCATTTTAACCACACTGCTCACCTATTGAGCAACCCCTTCTTGAGTGTGTGTACCTTTTCTTTATTAAACTACTCTTTGCTTGTACCTGCACAACCTGCTGGTGAATTCTTTCTCCATCAGAGTCAAGAATCCTTTCCCAAGTTGAGATGTCACCTAGGACACAGGGAGGCCTCCCCAGACTGGATTTCCCCACAACAGAAGTTCAAGTAGTCTTGTTGGATTAGGGCTCCACCCTTATGACCTTGTTTAACTCAAAGGCCCTATCACCAAATACAGTCACATTAGGCTGATGACTCAAACATGAATTTTGAGGGGACACAGTTTAGTCCATAACAGCCATTTTCCATGCTTTGACCTGAACCCTCTATTCTAAATTGTCTTTCATAAAGCATCTACATTTAGCTTAAACTTCAGCAAAAGAGGCAATTGTGACATTTCCTAAGCCAGGGGTTAAAAATCAACTGCTCACAAGGGCCCAGCAGGTAACAGCAAACCTGGCTGGGCATTAGAAACTATGTTTCACCTTCACACTTTAGCTCTTTGCTATTTTCCTTAAAGCAAACAGACTTCTGACACTACATTTCATGTTCCAAGGTTTAATAGCATGCATGTTTCACTGTTCTCTTAACACTGCTATAACAACCACATCACAAGAATGTTAATATCTGTTGTCTAACATGTGGACACTAAGGGGACTAACGGGAAGCACACAAAGCCTGTATGGTGGGGTGTGGGTAAAATTGTAACATTTCCAGAATATCTCACCTGGCTTTAGTACATCTGCATATCAATAGGTGTTCAGAGGTGGAAAGAAGTATGATTTTAGTGCATTTGCATCATTCCTCAGGGGTGGAGAGAAGTTCATCTCCATATCATTGGCTAGTTACCTGGGCAAGGAGGGCTTATCTGTACCTGAGAGGTGAGGGGAGGGCCAGTTTTAGCTTCTGCTGGAGCAGAAAAGAGAAAAACTACCCCAGACTGCAGTTTGTGAGCAATAAATGGATTTTAAACTTTATTTCTCCTTTGATTTTGGTTTTTAGAGGTATTTTTGCATCTGGCATAGTTGGTAGGAGTCCTCTGAACCCAAAGTCTGTCATAATGGGTGTGACCTTTGTGAGGGCTGCCCCAAGAAATGATGGGGAGAAGTGGCACTCCCGCTGAGGGACGTGTGTCTACATTCATGTGGTTGTGGGTGCAACCACCACCGCTGCTGGCCATGCCAAACCCGGTCCGTAGCCAGAGCCTGAGGCTACTGTTTCTGCCACTGCTGCTGCTGCTGCTGGCTGGAGCCTGGTCACAACTATAGAAAGGAGCAGAGGTCCAGTACATCTTAATAGAGAAGCAATGGCTGCTGTGTACCACACCTTATTGGCTACAGAGCCCATCGCTGGAAAAGCTCCAACCAAGATAATAACCATTATCCTATCGTGGGGTGGGTGAGAGACAGGACCCAAAGGCCATAGAGTTGTGTGGCACAGACACCAACCGTATATCATGTGACCAGTCATTTGCCTTTGGCATCCCCAGGGAACGGTGAAGCAGACACATTGGCCCAAGTTTGCTGACTGAAGGAAAGCCTGCCTCAGATGTGTCCCAATGGCTACATCAGCTTTTATTGCATGCAGGGTAAAAGGCAATGTGGGCCCATCGGTGGGGCTTGCCATTGACCTTTGAAGAAGTCAGCCGAGCCCTGAAGGAGTGCCCTGCATGTTGTGCAGATCAGCAAATCACCAAGAGGGACCTAGAGTGTCTCTTTGCAGCCTATGGCCATTCACTGGTGGTTGAGAGCGATCAAGCCCACTTTACTGGACAAGTGTTGTGTGGGGGCCCGGCCTACGGCCGAGGCTGAGCCCCACTCTAGCTGGACAACACCCTAAAGATGGCACCTGCTTATTGGCCCAGCAGACTTCCGTACCCGTGCACAGCTCGTGCTGCCCGCTTAGAGTGGCACGTGACACCTATCCGCTTAAAGGTCACGCATGATACTGTCCCGGATTGGTTGGGTGACTGAATATAAGGGAGCCCGCCGGGAGGGAGAAGAGCTTCCCGACAACTGCTGTAACCGCCGCGAGAGATTAGACAATAAAGCCTAGAGAAGAATCAAGACCTTTGGCGTGTTGTTTTGGAGGGTTGCGACATGTTGCAAGGATGGGTGCAGCAATTAGGAGTAAAATGGACATGGCCCTGAACATTTCAACACATTGATCGGCAATGGCTCGTTCTTCTCGTACCTTGGGGAAAAGGCCTTGAAGCTGGCCTCCTGTGTATTCCTGGAATAACAGCAAAGTGATCCCCCACAATCATGGTTGTTTCTACAGTCCTTGTGTCTTGGATGCGCCCTCTGGCTGCAGCTGCTGCATGATGGCTGGAATGGATGAGGTTTGGACTTAATCTGCATGGGACTTTGAATCCAGCTGAACCCTCTGGCTTGAGATATATTATGATTGTGTTGCTGTTGTCAAGAAAAAACTGCTTAAAGAGAGGCTTGACTTTGTCTAATGTTTGGTAAAAGTTTTGTGAGCCATCTAGCATGGTTGTTAGGAATCAGTAAACAAGTGTAGAAACATATTTTGTGCTTAGATTGTGCTGTTAAGTACATTTACTTAATCTGCATAGGCTGAATCCTCTGGTTTGAGGATTATCAAGATTTTATTGCTGTTGCTATTATATGTTATTAAATTGGTTGGAAGAGGGAGAATGAGTAAATTGTAAGGTGAGATTTCTGGAGGGGTGGCCTGTGGATTTCAGTTTTGAGGTATTTTGCCCTGGGATTTCCTCTTCTGGGATTTACATGGGGTTTCACTTAATCATTGCTCTTTGGGGCTACAGGCCCAGGGACAGTGTGGATTTTAATATGAGATAAGCATTTAACATGGAATGCTCAATACTTTCAATATGGACAACTATTAAAAAATTTATAGTATGGCACAGATTAAACAAAACAGGTCTGAAAGCTCCATCAAATCCTTCATGTCATAACTGAAGATCTCTGGACATTAACAAAGATTTCTGTCCCCATGACAAGCTGTCTAGTATACTATTCCTGCCCCCAAAGAACAGATGAAATGCCCAGATCTTCCCAGCTTTCTAAATTCTCAACTGAAAAGAATCTCTCACTTGGCAGTTCTGGCCAGACCGCAAGAGTCTCGCACACAGCAGGCATTCAAGACTATTTTTTGCCATTTAAGTAAATGAATAAAGAAAAAACTACAAGTGTAAATCCGGGTAGAGGAAATCCTGGGCAAAATACTTCTAAAAACCGAAATCAGTCAAAGGGAGAAATAAAGTTTAAAATCCGTTTATTGCTCACAAACTGCAGTCCGAGCCCTTTCTCTTTCTTGCCCCCAGCAGAAGCCAAAAACCAGCCCTCCCCCTCTCCTCTCAGGTGCTGATAAGCCCTCCGTCGCCCAGGTAATTGATATGGAAATGAACATCTCTCCACCCCAGAGGAATGACGCAAATGCACTAAAGCCATATTTCTTTCCACCACTGAACACCTATTAATATGCAGATGAACTAAAGCCAGGCGAGATATTCTGGAAATGTTACAATTTTACCCACAACAAGAAACAATTTTATTTATTTAGGCTCACTACCAGCAATGAGGTAAAAGTGGTGAAAGGTGTTTGGAGTTCTTTATTGTGGATTTAATATTTACCTGGATAAGTAAACCCATTGTTTGTAATTGTGGTACATTTTTCTTATTCTCATATATTCTTCTCTACCTAGTTTTCTTTGGTCCTGTCTCAAAATTTCCTCCCTTTTCTTTACTGATGGTTCTCATCTCTCCTGTCTTGCAATGAATAAAAAGAAAGAGGAAGATAGAGGCTACCAGGGTCTTAAACTGAAGCTCTGCCTCTTCCCTTCCTAGTGTGACTCCCTTCTGTGAATGACCCACACTTGTTCTCTGAACCCAGCTTGTCTCTCTCTCTTCAAGTCCATTATTTCCAATTGTCTATTTAAATGAGACACAGACTCTTGAATTCTGTTTAAATCAGCTTTCTAGTAAATCACCGATTTTATTTTTTACTGTACTTCCATGCATAAGGGAGAAGAAGAACCAATTGTCCTCTATTTTAACAAAGAAATATCACCAAAAATAAAGATGTCAAGGCAAAGAGGAGATGCCAGTTAACGTCTTATTACTAGCATTGAGACACAGACCATGAGCTTAGGCAGAATATGGTGAGGGCCTCTGGAAAAAGCAAGGCAGGATAATTACAGTCAGAGCAGTGTAACTACATGCAAGGAAACCCCCTACCAAAATTCTCTGATAAACATTAATCTCTAGAGTCATTCTTCAGTGAGATCAGTTAATATTCTCCAGATAAAGAAGAGTACCACATGATTTTACTATGCTAATCATTTGTAATCATGTGTAAGATTCACTTTAGCATGCTAAAAGGCCCAGGTCTATGTGCTGTCTTTCCTCCTTCAGACCTGATGAGGTGATTTGCAAACTAAGCAACTAATTTAGCATGAAGACCCAGCTGTAAACAACATAGTTAAAGGCCAGAAGGATTCCACCTTAAAGATAAGATTGCGTTTTAATACCCAGGAAGTTAAGTCAGAAATTCTTCACTTACGCTTTAGCAAACAGTACCTCAGCCCACCATGAGGGTGGGGCAGGCAGCCTTGTTTGATTTGCTCCCAGACCAAGATGATGGTATCTCAGGGAGAAATCATCAAAGCAGGAAGTTGCTTCTGTTAAGTTAACTCAGGGACCACTTAACAAGTCCACACCCCTAAGCCTTTATCTGGTTTCTAAAAATCCTCAACTGTCTTGAAAGCCCCTAAACAGCGCACCACTACGGGCTCTCTTATGCCCCCCTGGTGTGAGCCAGGAGCTCTGTCCTCCCACTGTATCTCTCAATAAAAGCCTCTCCCTGGCTCTCCTACCTTGGGTGTCTGTAAAATTCATTCTTCGATTCTGCAAAACAAGAACCCCGGCATCAGTCTGACACATTTTTAAAGAGAAAGACAATAATTTACAGACTTAGAAGTTAAATGTTACTTTGATAGGTCATAGCAACAATCTCTGAGATTTATGTCTGACAATATTTCACCAGAAATACCAGTACCTTCATCAGAAATGCTAGGTCGTTTTATGAGGTCCTAGAGGATTTGTTCCTCTGTGTAAGGCTGGAGGCACTGGAGGGAGAGGTGAGCATGACAGACGAGCTCAGCCCTCACCAAATAAGGAAAGGGGGCAGCAAAGCCCCCAACCAAAGCCTAGTAAGGGAAAGAGACCAACAGATTTCAGCCTGACGACGTGCCAAAATCCCCAGCTGCTGCCCCCACCCAATCTGGAAAAGGAGTAGTAACTTTCTAGTCCTTTGTCTACTGTAAAGACCAATGACATGTGCCTTAGGCTAGCCAATCCTTGTGCCACTGTAGACCTATGCTCTCCCTCCCCCTAACTTCTTTATAAACTCACTGCCTTCCCTGCTGGGTGCAACTTCTCCGGCCTGTGACTAACCAGACCAGTGAACATCACCCAGGATTGTGCCCTATGAAACTTTTGGCTCTTTTGTTGCCTCCTTGCCTGGTCATTTATGCTTAATTTTACCTTGCATCTGGTGCTGAAACCCGGGAAGGAGATAGTGCGCGTGGCTCTGGCCAGCCACCAGTAGCTCCCACCCCTCCTTCCCTGATCTGGGATCTCCGCCTACTCCCAGCCCTTAGGACTGCGATTTGGTGAGTCCCTCCTTTCCCCTGGTCTGTTTTCCAGTCCTGTATCCACCTGGTTCAGTTAACTTCAAAATCGTAGCTACATCTAGGTTCTCCAGGCATTA